TAATCCCCCCCCCAAATTTTTTCCCCCTCTTAGTATGGCCCTAATACTCCGTCGTACAAACAGGCCTGATTATCTCAAAATGTAAAATAACCGGCCTGATTTATCAGTCTATCACTAATCACCGGTCCTATTAATGACTGCAGTGTACTGCAGTGGTTTAAAGGGACACTTCATCCCTAAATCCGGATTACATATCTTCCCTCTTACCTGTACTGCTTGCTTTTTATCCATGTGGATTGTTTTTGTGTGAGCTGCCGAGTTTTGGAGACATCTGCCTTCTCTAGAATATATCGTTAATGTAGCTAGATGGTGGTGAAAGAAATACATTCGAAAAAGTCAACAGCGATGTCTTTTTCCAGAAATTGTGACCCCGGATAATCCACAGTTTCATTTAGGAGCAGAACTATCTTCAGGAACCATCTCCCACATAGTTTATCATGTTGCACAAGACTCCTGTCCATTAGTAGATACACACTTCCTACTGCGTGGTGAAAGAAAAGAAAATAATTCCCACATTCTTCCTTATTCCTCTTACTGAGGTAAGAGTAAAAATCTGTATTTTTGATTTTAGAGTGAACTGTCCCCTTAAAGCCTAAAGCAATAACTTTTATTTTCTTCACAATTTGGCGAGACTGTGTCCAACCAAACAGCATTAGCTCCATTTTCATGCAATTTGACTTGACATTTAAATCAAAATAGTGAATAGCCTTTGTACTCACTTACATCTGTAGCATATAAAGATAGCTTTACTCCAAAACAATAGTGACTGATGGAAAAAGATTCTTGTTCCGTCTCGGTCTCGACTGATCATTTGCACTTGGTCTTGACTCTGTCTCGACTAGTCCTGGTCCTGGACTTATCTTGGACTCTACGAAGGTGGTCTTGACTACAGCACTGATTACATCACTAGTACTGTTGTTAAACTAGCTAACTAGCTTAGTTAAAGAAAAGCTTAAATGTACACAAAGAGTACAGAGTACAGCTGCGGCCAATGGGAATGTCATTTGTTTTTCAAGTATTTAACCACTAGACAAAGAAACGTAGTTATCTGGATGTAACTCCAGTTCTATGAGTACGTGTGTAGCCTTCTAACGAGCTTCACTATTTACCCCTGAAGAGGCTCTGCCTCGGCACCTGAGAAAACAATTTTGCACTCAAACAGGTGGTAGTATCTTCCCCCTGTAAAACCCCAGTGCATGAGTTGCTTGTCTCCCTGTGGAACTCAACAACAACTAGGGCCAGCTGGGCTTGTGATTAGAGGTTAAACTCTAGGTGAAGGCTGTAGGGATGTGATGTACTCCCAGAAACCATGGAAAGCATTCCAGTGTCCAAACAACGCCCACCTACAAGGTTCGGGGGGAAGAAAGCCCTCAGGCAACTGACCCTGAGTGAAGAGGTGATAACTGCTCACCCTTTCAGCCTTC